TCACATAGCCTGGTTCCCAACAGGGGGAATTTTGGATGGGGATCCCTTGGTCCTTTGAGACTGTCCCCCAAAAAACTCTCTCTGTGGCTAAAAAGGCAGCTTCCTGAATGTTATGGAATTAAGATTACATAACAATTAAAAAGTTAGAGTTTTTTTAAAGTCTAAAGCAATAAGGTTTTACTTAAGATACTAAAATGTTCTTTGTTAAACTTCTAAAAACTAGATTAAGAACCAAGTCTTTGTGTTTTATCAAGGTAAATCTTGTGTTTTCTGCAGTTAGGCTCATTACTTAAGAAAAGACAAAAACTGAATGTTAAAGAGTTAAAGTTTATTTAAGTGTTGGCTTGCAAAATCTTTTCAGTAATCAGTTTATAACTGTTTAAATATTATAACACTCTATATATGAATATGTATATGACTAAAGATGTTTATATATCTAAAGACAAAATATGCTGAGTCTAAGCTTTGTCTAATATTAAGTTTATAGAGTTTAAATTAAATATATTTAATGCATATAAAGCAACCAATAAGTGCTCTCCTTTATATTATATTATATTTAGACCCAAACATATAACATGATCAATTTTCTGGCTTCTCTGTTTTTTGTATTTCGTACAGTTTAGCCTTGCTATTTAAAACCTGCTCTATATCTATTGGCTTTGACTATAGAAACATTTGATTATTGTATAAATAAGATACACTTGCTATGACTTGCTCTTAATTTTGATTTTACTTTTTTTGGTAAAACTTTATATAACTGTTATTTGTTATTCTATAAGAATATTATTACAGACAGCTAAGTTAGATGGAAATTGATGGCAATCAGAGAGGGATCAGACCCTCGAGGAAGTCAGTACAGAAGATGAGACACATCAAAATTGTGGCTGGAGGTGAATTTGGAGAGAGCCAGGCCTCAAGATGGAGATGAGAGGAAGGCCTGCAAGCCTCCCTAGAGATGAACAGTAACTTGAGATTGTACTGTACTAAGCACCATCTGGTCCAGTGGGCCCAGATAGGCATCAGACCCATAGGTGGGTAACCAGAACATCAGGACCCATTACATTTGTCCCTTTCTGGAATGCCTTTGTTCTTTCTATGTTAAAAGTTATAGATAAGCTAAGGTTAATAATCCTCACCAAGTACCCTTGCTATGTGCCTTGCTTCCCTATCGGATCAATATTAGCTAAGCCACTATACTTACAATCTTATGGGTTGATTGTAGTTTGATCCATAGCTACCTACATTGTACTCATGTTGTGATACCTACAGTGTACTCATGTATTTGCTGTATGAGATATCCTTGAACAAAGAGCATCTGCAGTGATCCACTTTCAGAACCTCTCCTGTATCTTAGGAGCTTTTTCTACTCTTAAACTTCTTTGTCCTCAAAATCCATTCTTCAATATTGGGAGAGACAAACTTGGCACATCTGACATCTAACAGATTGGGGGTTATTTTCCCCATCACTATATGACTTACAACAAACAATCTAAACAGTATGTGTAGACCATAACCTATGTTAAAGTGTTTCAATATCCAAAAAAAGTATAATAGGTAAGACTAAGTCCTAATGGTCACATTTTAAGATTGGTGTAACTAACTTTCTGGGTGTTCAACAACTAAGGCTTGGAGACATGCAAACAAACATACATACATACACACATACATACATACAGTAAGAGAACAGCCAATATTTTGATCCTTGTGCTCCAAGGTCAGCCAGGAGCCAAGGCATGATGGAATCCTCTAAAAGGGCCCTGCATCAACCTCTCAAGCAGGAGCAGGAGGTTGGACCCCAGAGGAAAGGAGTAAACCAATGTACATTCTATAAAAAGAAGGGTTACTACAGAGGAGAATGTCCTCATGCTTCAAAAAAAAGCCATATGGTCAAGTAAGACCATGGCCCACCTCGACAGATAACACAATTAGTAGAGGAAAAACTTTCTCACATAGCCCAAAAGTAACTCCTAAGAAGCCTTAAGCAACCTTGCCAAAAAAATAGATAGATACATACATACATACATACATACATAGACTGATTGATTTTAATGAACAATGGTCAAACTTTGATATGGTTTTAAACACCCAGCAAGAAGATATACCAAAAAGTAAAGTAAATAATAGTGATACCAACAGAGCTAAACTAGATAGAAAAAGGAACTGCCAAGACTTCGCCAGCTGTTAAGTGAGGCAGTCTTCAGCCTCACTTGTTACATCTTCACCTACAGGCATAAAAAATCTAGACTCCTGCCCCACTAGCTTTTCCAGAATGGGTCCCTCAGCCTGACTTAGTGTATTGTCATTATGTTATTTTGAGGTACATTAAAGTATTCCTCTGGGCAAAAAATGTAGCTTCATATATATCTGCCTGTACAACAAAACTGCCAACATAAGTATTCTAGTTACTAAATATTATTACTGTTGGTTGATGTCATCCACACCCAGAAGTCTTCCCTCTTCCATAAATCCATCACCCACACCATAACTATGCTAAGCCAATCAGTGGACTAATCCAGTATCACACACACCCATGATCCAGTCACTCCCAAAAGCCCCACCTATGAGCACATAAGGCTTTGGGGGAACAGCTAGGTATAAGACATAACATTTGTCTATTGGTAAATTCTGTTTTACTACCTGCCTCACCAGCCCCCTTATATGCCTTCTCACATAGCACTTCATATCCACCTTTTCTTCCTTAATGGCTGGTCTGCAGATTTCAGGGTCCAGCACTGGATATAGAGACAGCCTTACAGGGGTTGTTTACCCAGCTTCCACAATTGCATAAGCCAATGTCTTATGGCACCTCTCACTGGTTCTACTAAAACTGGTGGAACTTTGACTGATACAGTTGTGAATTAGGGAGACCTGCTATGGAGATGGAAGTGACCATGGGAATAGAGAAAAGGGACAGTTGAGGATGCAGGAATCAGGTTGTGCTGAACCATCAAACGCAGCAGCAAGGAGGAGGGCGGTGTAGGGAATGACCCAGAGGGTTCAGGCTGGATCAGGAAGTTGTGCTGTCAGTGCTGGAGTGGAGCAAATTTGGGGCTGGGAGGGATGTCAGACCTGAGTGACAGAATTAAATTTGAAGAGTCCAAGTGGAGATTTATAATTGTGTTGGATAAATGGACCTGAAACTTAAAGGAAATGATTGGGATCATGGTCAGCCATAGGTGGAGGCTAGAACACGGGAGGGGATGAGCTCCCCCTGGGACAGCAGGTAAGGTGACAAGATGAGAATGAGGAGGACTCTAGGCAAACTACTCTTCAGGGAGGAGCAGAGGAAGATGAGCTAAATGGAAGGGTCTGGGGCCGAAAGGCTGCAGAGGAGAAAGTTAGACTCCACAGACAAGGAATGATTGCACTCAAATAGGAAAGAGATGGCAAGAGGGTGACATGTCACGGACAATTTGATCAAATAAAGGAGCTGCAAAGGTATCTTCCTTGGCCACCTCGACCTATTTCCTGCCACGGGGCTTTGTATCTGCGGTTTTACTGGCCCAGAATGCTCCCTTTGGCTGTCTCTCCTCCTCAGACACGGGCATTAATGCAGAGGTAGGCATAAGGCTGTGTGGCCATCTCAGCAGGAATGAAGCCAAGCACAGGTAGATACTGCTGAGACCTGATGTTATCTTCTAAATGCTTGATCTATCTGAACTTTAGCTATAACTCATGCATTTAACTTTTCAGCACACAAAGCAGTAAATAGCATTCCTCTCTTAAACTCATCTGGGTTGTGTGTCTGCCACCTGCCTTGAGAAACCCTCTTAACACTCCATGTGCTCCCTCACAGCACACCTGTGTAGCAAGAATGGAAAGTGGATGAATTTCTTGCAGTGCTGGGTGAAAAGCACCTATGTAGGATCCTTAAGGAAGGACTAGAATCTCCACTAGTCTAGTGAATCTCCACTAGGACTAGTCTCCCCTAGCATCTGCTCAACTCCTTTCTCTCCTTTCTTCCATTTCTTCCTACCTTTTATTCTAAACATGCTCAAAAGTTATCACTTCCTATTACATCCCCTCTCTCCTACTCTGCAATCCATCTGCTTTAAAGAAGGGAACATACCTACCGCCATTTCCTCCTCGTGTCCACTGCTCAGCAACCAGGTTCCCCTCCTGGTGTGGGTACACCTACCAGTAGTCACCATGGCCCCAGCATCCATCCTCATCCGTTGCTCCTTCTGCAGCATTTGGCACAGCTCCCCAGACCTTCATCTTCTTCTCTGGATGCTGTGACACCCAGTGGTTCTCTTACCATCCTGGCCATTCCTTCTGGTTTACTGGAATGCTGGCAAAACCTCTAGGCAAGAATGACAGATGAGTGGTAATGCCTGACTCAGTGTAGCCACTCAACTGGCTGCTTGTCTAAGCCTTTAAAATTCTATCTGGAAGGGTCCAAACCTAATGCTGATAGACAAAGATGGAAATTGCCGTGGTACCATTCATGATGGGGGCTGTTCATTCCCCTATGCTATCTGAGTGTTTAGTGTCTACAAATGTCCACTGGATCCACCTTCACAGTTTCCCTTCTCTAAATGTACCATACACCAGAGCTTTAACATAGGTCCGTAGAACAGATCGGCTAGGAAGACCAATCCTGCACCACAAAATGAAATGGCTACAGTACACTCAACAGGTATGTTAGACATAAATAATGAATAAATACAGTTAATGTTAAATTCCTGTGTTAATTCCCAATCATTCCTAATCGAAGTATTGGGAAAAACCAATAGTTGATGTGTCTGTATGAAGTTCAGGCAATATTTTCTGTCCCTTATGAATAAAAAGAATTGTTTTCTCATAAAGAAATGGTCATATGCTATGGGTTGTGAGCAGATCCCAGTCTCACTTTTCCCTGTGCATGGCAACACAGCAGAGCTTTTGCTCTCTTCTGTTTCTAGTTCCATGAAGATTTGGTAGGCAACAGGGTTGTTGGGTTGAAAGACCACACACAAACAAGCACACCTGGTACGAAGTAAGCAATAATCACGATCGCATTTCAGTTTAGAGCCTTCTTTATTAAGGAAGGTCCTTCAGGCACTTTATTAACAGGCTGATACAAGTGTGGCAAGAGCACCATTTAAAGTCACAGTCCAACTGTGTGTATGAGGTCAGCGAGAAGGCAGAGAACACCATGGCAGTGGTTTATAGCAAAACAATGACAAGCTATTGGCCGTACGCCTTCCATCAAACATAACCATCAGCCTGACTGCTTCTCTCCTCTGAGGAAGGGAGAGAAGTTGGGATTCAAGACTTGCTATTTATTACTCTAGACACATGTGGGCCTTGCTCTGACAACAGACAAGGTCCCCACCCACGCCCAGACTTGGACAAAATGGTGGCTAGGTTCTCTGTGCCCAACCTTCTCATCTCTGCAGTGTCTAGGCTAGATCTTGAAGTGTCTGATCCTCCCAGGGCATGGGGGCGGCACTAGGCCAGCACCACCGGCAATGCCAGGCTGTGCCCCCTTAGGTGGGTTGAATGCTTCTCCTGAGGCTGACTCCACCGAAGCCACACCTGTGAAGGCGTGGCGAAGGTCATAGTGTGCCTGGTGTCTAGGGGGTCCCAGGGGAACTTCCACCACCTTGGGTCCCACCACCAAGGCAGCTGCAGCCAGGCCAGCTGCAGAGGGCACAGGTGCAGCTTGGTCCAGTGCAGGGGGTGGGCTTGCTGGGTTGGCGGCATCTGGCTGGGGCTGCAGGGCCACGGGCTAGAGGTAGAAACATTTCCCTGGGTTAGTTTGCTTCTTCCTCCCAAAAGAAGCCACCCCCAGTTCTGGGTGGACCCCTACCCAATTTCCCCACAGTAATTCTTTTTATTTGCAAGGAATCTAGCAAAAAAGAACCCTGTAAAACTGAAAAAAATGGAAACAAAGTCTTTGTAAATAGGGAGGGATGGAGGGGTGGAAGGGAGGGCAGGGGAAGGGGAAAAAATAAGAACCAAGATCTCTCTATGTAAAGGTGCAAATTTCCAATGATGAATGTCATTATATTGTATACCTAAATGTACCAATAAAATTAATTAAAAAAAAAACCCGGTAGGCCCAAAGGATTCATTGGAGTTATGGGGCTGGGGCAGGGGAGGGGGTAACTGGTCTATGGAGATCCCGGTCTCCAAGGATTACCCTGGTGATGGTGGACTCGAATACATGTGTCCTCACCTGTAGCAACTCACCCCATGTATGCTAACTTTCCCTCTGCCATCCACACCTGCAGCCACTCAACTCTCAGGCAGCTCTGCCCGCCTCTTCCTGTAGCTCAGAGAACCACTCCCACCTCCCGGGAAACACAGGTGGCCTTGTCAAGTCCACACCAGGCCTGTTCTGCTCTGCAGCCACCAGCACACGAGAGGGAGACATCGGAAATACCCTCCTCCGTGTGGATGATTCCACATCCCCCAGTGTTACATTAGGTGCAGAAGGACAGGGCAGCAAATGTTCTGTTATTACGAATGCACTGCAGAGACTGTAAGGGGTCACTGCATTCCTGAAGATTCAAGCAAGAGAATCCATGACACTGTTACCTGTGTTTGGAATATTGTGCAGGTCACTGCCACCTCCTCCCCACCAAGCTTCTCCGTGAGTGTCGCCTTACAGAAGCCGTACTGCTGCCCACCAAAAGAGAGGAGTTATTTTAATGGATTTTGAAAAATGAATTTCTCCCTTGCTTTCACTGATACAACCATAATCAAGATAAAGAAATATAAAATTTTAATTCTTCTAAAAATACCTTCTTCAAGTTTACAGTTTCTGCTTATAAAAGATACATAATATATAACTCTATGTATATGTAGGAAATAAAGAAATACTACCAGAAAGAGCAAGATCACCCATAATCCTAGAAATGGTGGTGACCCCGGGATACCTATTGCTATCATCAATGCATCTTTCTTGTTTTTAAAAATTATTAAATATAATTTAATTGTTACCACGTCATTGGATGTCCTGTGTTTTGGTGGGTTTTTTTGTTTTGTTTTGTTTTTTTGGTACCGGGCATCGAACACTGGTCCTTGCGCTTGCGAGGCAGGTGGGGGAACCACTGAGCTAAATCCCCGGCCTGGGTGTCCTGCTTTTTACTCGCTTTAATAGAATAGTATTTTCTGCTACCCTCCATTAACCCGCGTAATTTTCTATTTACTGATGTACCATATATTAGCTAATGATATCCTCCTCTTGGACACTGGCATCTTTCTCTTTTTCTTATTTTGTATCTATTGACCAACGATCTTTGTAGAGCTATCTCTGTCAAATATCTCTGATAATTTCCTTGGGCTAAATTCCTACAAGTGCACATTGCTGGCTCAAGGACTTGAAAGTTTTTGTATTAGGGATATTTCTAGGAAATCCATGCTTCACACGCCTAGCACCCGGCATGACGCGGCTTCCTAGGACTCAAGCTCTACCTTTCCCCTAACTCCATGTGCCTGCAGTAGGCGAGATGATTTGGTGACCATTGTTAAAGGGGGAAGTGAGAATCCAGAGGAAGGTCTGCCACGACCCAGCCCCAGAGGAAGTGGATCTTTTGCAGTGTTATTTTCTTCCCACATAAGGATGCTGTGGTCTACAACCAGCCTTGCCGGGTGGCGCCAACCCCTGGCCCGCTCACCTTCTCTGCTAGCAGCTTGCAGTTGGCTGGATCTGTGACCCCTGTAGTGACACAGTCGGTGGCGGCCACCGCAAACTCCACATAGGTGGAAGCTGGGAGAGGCTGATAAGAAAACAGGAACAAGAACCCGAGGAGATAGGACTTTGCACGAGATGGGCAGAGAGGGAAAGGCTGCAGGGATGCAGCAAGAGCTACTGCACCGCACAACTTCAGGGAGCTCCACCTGCACGGGCCACGTGTTGTGACCCTGGGCACTGCTGCCCACCAGTGCAGGCAGGGGCTGTGCCCACCCTCGGCGTCCCCTGGAGGCCCCGAGGGCTTCGGGGTCCTCCTCGGCTGGGTGCCGCCCTCGCCACGTCCACTCTCCGCGTGCCGCCAAACCTCCCACCCCTGCCCCAGGGTTCCCGTCTGTACCACAAGTTGACCGCGGGAAATCTCCAGCAGCTTGAAGTAGGAGCCGTTGTTCTGCGCGTTGAAGGCGGCCAGGGCGGCGTCGGCGGCGTGCACCACCTTGGTGTCGTTCAGCGGCGCCATCAGGGGGCACTGGGGGCACACTTTGCGCACGTCCTCCCTGGAGTCTGCGCAGAAGGGCGCGCGCCTGTGAGCCCCGGCGGGCCCAGGCTCCGCTCAGGCTGAGAAGGGCTGGGCTGGGCTGGGCTGGGCGGACGACCGGCTTCAGGCGTGTTCCTGCCTCGTAACTAAACCTTGGCCCGCCTTCCCTCCGATGAGAACAGCTCCTTAAAAACTCGCCTTAAAAGCCCGGGACCCAGGAAGCTTGGCTTCTCCTGGTCTTCACTGACTGAGTCACTAGAACTCTGCAGTACTTAGGCTCAGAACTATTCGGATTCCCTCCCCAGTCTGGCTACAGGGCAGAAAGAATAAGAAAACGGATCGATCGTCCCTACCTGGAGTGGAATCGCACTTTGCGAACAACACGGAAAGCCGGTCGTCCTGTTTCAGCACGTGCATTTCACAGTCTCCCTCCACCGCCTGGAGAAACAAAGGCACAGTGAGGGCCTCCGCGGAGCCCGAGCCCGCCGGTCTTACGCGCGGGCGGTCACAGGTGACCCTCACGAAAGCACCTCCACGGGTCAGGGAAGGCTACAAAGGTTAGTTATAGTACAAATTAACGATAGGGCTAGGCTTGGTGGCGCATGCCTGTAATCCCAGCTTCTATGGAGGCTGACGCTGGAGGATCTCAAGTTCGAGACCAGCCTGGGCAATCTAGCGAGACGCTGTCTCAGTTAAAACAAAACGAAACAAAAACATTTAAAAGGGCTGGGGATGTGGCGCTGTAGGAGAGCGCTTGGCTGGCATGCGTGAGGCCTTGTGTTCAACCCCGAGGGTGGGTCGGGAAACAACCCACAGAAGGCGACGTCCAGTAGCAATTTCAGAAAGTGCACGGTGCTAGCCAAGAAAGCAGGGTGCGCAGCTGCATAAACCGCGCCTGCTCTTTCTGCTCTTTGCTGCCCCCCGGCGGAGCCGGCTGGGACGCCCGCGGGGCCGCCCGGGCACTCACATGTTGGAACACCTGTCTCACGGAGCAGTTCGCCAAGGGTGTGGGGTCCCTGGCATGGCACTGGGTCTCCAGTGTGTCCAATTCAAGGTGGTACACCTCTCCGAAGGGGCGCTGTGGAGACAGAACGAGTTGATGAGCAGCGCCCTCCACTGATCCGCCTGTGCCTCGCGCCCTGCCCCTTCCTCAGCCTCGGCTTGGTCCAGCTCCGAGCCGGCCGATCGTGGCTCTTCTGGCCTTTCTAATCCACTGGGCATGTGCTAACAGTGCCTCGAGGAAGGATGGAAGGGCAGCGGGCTTAGGCGGGGCATGGAGCCACGGTCCTCACTCTGCTCTGTTTGGAAACTTGGAAATGAGTGTCGACCCTCATTATTTTTTAATTTAAAAAATGTCACTCTTCAAACAGTGTTTTGAGATCAGCTTTGGGTTTCCTTAAGCTGCGAAGTCGTGTGGTGTAGGATGATATCTTATTGCCTTTTGTTTATCTTCCCTACCCCTCCCTCTAGTTCGTTCTTCCTTCCCTCTCATCGCCTGCTTTCTCCCATTGTCTTTTCCTTCTTAAAGGTTTGTTGTTGCTGGGGTCCTAGGCTTTTCCTTTGTCCTTTGGTTTGCACATACCTGGGCTCACAGAAGCTGCTTTCTACTGCCTCCTGCTGGCAACCAGTAGGAAGAGCGAATGTATTCTGCAGCTGTCACTAATGCAGACGCCCTTAGGACGCTTGTGTAACTCTATGGCATTGTTCTTATCTGTTCACCTGTTTATGCATCCTTTCCTTAAAGCTTGGAAAAATCTCAACCTGGCTCTGTTTGTCTCTCATTTCAGTTCTGCCTGACTCCAGGGTCTGAAGCATTTTTTGACGTGCAGGTGTGTCCAAAGTAACTTCTGGGAAGGACTCAGAGCTGTGGGTGACCAGGAACCAGGCGCATCTGAGCTCCTCGCAATGCCCACCCATTGCTCTTTCACTCACGTTTGCATGCTGCGTGTTTATTTCCCCTGAATTGAGGAGCAGTTCCTCTGAACCACTGATATTACTTCTGTATGACTGAAGCACTCTCAAAATTCCCGGACAATCCTGGCTTCAAATGGTTTGTCCCTTTGTGAGATCAGGTGTCAGCCATCAGTCCTGACATCCTGATGTTTACCTTCTTTTCCCTCCTATATTGCAGACCCCTTGTGGGCACAAACCATTTTTCTCACCTATAGATATAAACTTGCCATTTTTGTGTGTCAAACACAGCTAAATATTGACAATTTCAATGGCTCAACCTAATATCTCCCATAGCACCTGATACTAGTTCTTGCCCAAGGAAGCTTGAGATAATTATTTGCTGAAATATTATCCTTAGTCAGATATCAAATCTAATTCCAAAGCAAATAGTCAGCAAGTGTTTTTTCCCCGTCCTGCCAAATTTCTCGACTGATCTCCCAAACATGTTTTCTGGGTTTCTCTCTATGGTCACTGGCTTCAGCCTGCACTGTTTTCTTGTTTAATGTGGGAAAGTGAATCCTGTCTATGCTGAATTCTCTCCGAAATGTGAGGAACTCGTTTGGGGAAGCAGCTTGGATAGAGGAAGGAACCCAGGTCTGGAACAAAATCCCAACCCCAATGCTCACTATGACCTTGAGCAAATAATGGCAACACGACAGCATCCTGGCATCCTCTTAGGTAAAACAAGGCCAGTAGAGTGTAGCGACCATCCAGGACCAGAGGAGGGGAGCACATCCATGAGCTGAGCTATGTGAAAGGGCCTGACAGGCTGTAAGCATTTGTAAAACCCTAGTTTCAACCACTTTTTGTCAGAGACAGAAGCCAAGACGATAAATTATTTGTAGATGCAGATAACTTGGCAAATAGGAGCCAGTCTCTTGCGCCCTGGTTTTCTCAGCAAGCCTCGCTTTCCATCTGTGATCTGCAAAATACCCTTGGAAGTACTTTCCTCTCCTCCCCATTGCCCCATATCCCACTGAACACTGTCCTTAAGATCCATGACTGCAGAGTCAAGTGCCTCCCCTCTTGCTGGGCCCCTGCCCCTTCCTCCACTCATGGGAAAAACTCAGTTTCCCTGCTGCAGCTTCCTTTGTGCTGGGAGCTGCCAGTCTTTCGAGGCACGAGCTTGGGCTGCGCAACTAGGTACTTTCATCTCATTCACACCGAATTCACTCACCCTCTGCCACACCCTGACTTTGTCAATTTGGTTCAAGGTGTGCTTGTATCCGTGACGAAGGTTCTGATTGATGTAGTCCACAGCTGCCAGGGCTGCCTGCTCTGTTTCCAAGTCATCACAAGCTGGCTCCCTGTAAGGCAGCCGTGGGCCAGCTGGGACCGAGTGGCAGCCTAAGAGCTGAACAAGGCAAAGGAGCAAAACAAAGGACTTCATGGCTGCTCCGGAGAGTTCCTGGCAAGTGGGTGGATGGCTAGAGACCTCTGGACCGACCCAGGAACCTGCTGGGAAAGCTAGACAGACAGAGAGGTGGAGGACTTTATTTATCTGTTGGAGCCTACTGAAGGAATTGCACAAGGATATGGGAGGATTTCAATTCTGCTCGAAAATAACCCCTGCAAATATCAGCCCTGGAAAAGCAAACAAGTTGGGACATCCCTGGTCCCCAAGAAATCTGGCAAAGTCAATTCTGTTGAGGGAGAGTTGCTCCAAAGTCTGCTTAGAACATGGCAACAGCAGGAGAGAGAAAGAGAGAGAGAGAGAGAGAGAGAGAGAGAGAGAGAGAGAGAGAGAGGTGCCAGAGGGGATGATACAGTGGAAGCAGCCAGCTTCGGCGTGTGGAGGGGCTGGCAGCAGGGGGAGGTCCTCTGCCAGGAACTGGATGTGCGTGAGGTCTGTACGTAGGGATGTGGGGAGCATTCAGAAATGTGACACAATCCTCAGTGTGGGGCCATATCTCTTCCACGAGAGGGAGAATGAAGCCCACAGAGATAGCAAAGGTACAGTGGGCTGTGGGACACGACAAGATCTTGGAGCCCCTTGAAGGAAAGAAGAAAGCAAAAGAGATGTTTCTGTGGCAGAGGTGAAAAGGAGGAGTTCCTACAGCAGCGAGGAATACAGTGAAGCAGTGCGAGGGCCCTGACACCCTCATCCTCTTTTCTCCAGAACTCACTGCTAGGACCCACAAGTGACAGCGTGGACAGGCAGACCAAGGTCTCCTAGGTGGATGGATGTGATTGCACCCATCCCCCATGCTCCCCAGTAGCACATAAGAGCAGCAGGGGGAGTTCTGGCCTCCCAGGCACTCATTTGACAAAGCTCTGGGTTCAGATGTGCACTCTGAGAAATGGCAGGGCCAGCTAAGGACTCAGTTATGCCCCCAGCTCTCTTGGCAGCCTCTGCAGAATGACAGCATGCCTTTGTGGCTGGAACACAGGACCCCGGTGTCCACTCCAGGCACCTTTTAAGTAGCCCTGGACCAGCCCAGGTATAATCTCTGAGGAGGGTGGGCAGGCAGGAGGGGGCTTGGGAAATGTCACATAGGGACTCGGTTTATCCTGGAGCAAAGCAACCCTAACGTGGAAACCAACATGTTCTTCGGATAGTTAGAGGTTGGCCTTGTAAGCGGGTGGATTTGTTTTGTGCTTTGATGTTGCTTCAGGAAAATAAAATTGGGTTTTTAAAAATAAAGAAGGAGAAGGAGAAGAAGAAAAAGGAGGACGGGGAGAAAAGAAAGGACCTTCCAAAGTGAAGCTTAGTAATGTTGATTTTCAAGGTGGGGGGCGTCGGGGAGGTGAGAGGCAATGACAAGGCGCAGAGGTGGCTATAAGGGAATTTTCACACTTACTCCCAGTGGCACACACAGACTCTCAATGGCAGAACGTGGTCAAGCTCCAGGTCCTCATGGGCCAGGGCTCGTGGCTTCTACAGACAAAGAACAGGCTTCAGTCATCTCTCAAAACCAACTTTCCACCAGCCTTGGACCTATTTAATTCAAGGGCCTCCCTCATGAACATTTTGTGCAGGCTACACTTTTCTTTAAAACAATCTTCAAAAGTATAGTAAATGTGGTCATTACTAAATATTTGAGAACTTTGAAAAATGTTCTCTGAGCTTATATCTCATAACTCATGAGCACAAGTATATAAAGTAGAACAGTCTTTTCCCCAGCTCAACTGAATTTCTGACTCTGGGCCCGCTCTGTGAAAATGTAATCTAGTCACTTCCAGGCAACCTGATTTTCTAAACACCTGGGTTGAAGCCCTGTGTTACAATTGCTTGCCCCTCCCCTTCATCCCCCAGTGGGGTTAGAAAGAGGCCTGGGCACCTATGTGGGTACTGACGTAAATGGCACTAAAGGCAGAAAGGGGTGTCCCCCTTTGCCTTGTACTTCAAGGGCCTGTGTTGGCATCTTCCACCAGGTAACCTGCCTCACCTGGTCCTTGGGCACATGCCTACCTACCTGTGGTTCCACCTGTGAGCCAGTGTCCTGCTTGTCCCCCCTTAATCCATAGCAAGTTAGTCTTCCCTGTGTCCCCTGTTCCAGCCATGAGACCTTTTCTAGACCACAAGCTTTCTCTCAGCGAGGCACCACTGCATTCTTTATGCATGGGAAACCTTCGCTGCTGTGCCCACACAAGGAGCAGGGCCTCACAAAGCTGCCTCCTATGGGGACATTCACTGCAGTCATGGCCTCGAGTTACCCTGGCACCAGCCTGCTACCCAGGGGGCTTCTCCTACAGTATAATGTCCTTTGTGCAGTACCCGTACCTCCATTTCTCACTACCTCCAGAACGAGCTCAGGTCTTCCTCAGCTCTGGGGTTCCCATGTTTGTCCCAGGATGGTTCAATAGAACCATTCCGACCTGAGGATGCAAGAAGAAAGATAAAAATCTCCCTGATCACTAATCTTCTCAGATCATTTCTGTCTTGGACCATTTCTTTCAGCATCTGATCTTCCACTGGTGATACATTCTAAAGGACTGAATATTTCAGGTGGTGCTAGGTGTTTAGCTGTGTGAAACTGTGTGAAACCGACCCCAAGCCCACAGTGATCCTTGCAGTTGGCTTATGTTAGCCCATAAGACAGGATGGGAAATCTTCCATTCTCTTTTGCTTAGAAGAAAACGTTTCTACTGCATGCCATTCGGCTTGGCCTTGACACTTCCTCCAATGTTCTGCCTCACAAAAATGAATCACTTTAGAGGCAAAGCAATAGAGAGATTTTCTAGCACTAGAATAGCACCTTCTTAGGAATCCATCCTCATCATGGCACATGTTGTTGTCCTTGGCAGTAAAAGGCATAAGAGCAACACTATTTTCAGCCTCCCTCCATTCCAGACGAGGCAGCTGAGACTCAGAGATGCCCTAGAACCTCACCACACCTCGTACTCAGAAAGCGATGTCATCTACCTTTAGCTCCATCACTATTTCTGCATTAACCCCAAACCAAAAGAATATGCCACACACACACACCAAAAGCTAGGGAGGTTGGCGTCTGGACACTATTAAAAGCCAACAAATCATAATTCTTAACAACGGAAAACATAGTTGCTTGAAAAAAAAAAGATAAGAGTAGAAAAATAGCTTGAGTTTGGTTAACAATGAAAAGAATGAAAGAGTTCACCCACACAATTTCAGCCAGCAGAAAAATACTTGGAGATCAATTTTTCTGGAAAAAAAAAAAAAAAACAACCCCTGTTGACTCTAGCGATAACTTAGATGGCACTGAAGTTATCTCCACTGCAGGTTTGAAAGATAAATAAAAGGTAAATGATTATTCTGCTTCTAGTTAGATGTTTTTCAGGGAAATGCTAGCCACTGCAGAGAATCCTCCTGCTGGTTTCTGTTGCTACCTTTTGATATTTCAGAGCAAGCTGAGTGAGTGACTGTCTAGACAGAGGAAGGTGGGCGGCAAACCACCTTCCTATGAGCCCCATGGTGTGCTCGCTGGGCCCTCAACACAAACATTTTTCAGCAAAGCCAAGCCTTGGAGCTTATCCTGAGGCCACTGGAGTCCAGTAACTCATGGTACCTTGTTAAATTTGCGCACTTCTTTATCCATCATGCAGATTATTGCAGTTGGAATGGGTCCTTTCAACAGTAACTTGATATTTAACCTTCCACGGATCCATTCTTAAAGCATTCTCTGGGCACACTCATTCACTTCAAAATTATTTCTTGGACACTTACACTATGCTAGGCACTAAGTAAAGGTGTAAAACTCGTCTTCCAGGTGTTCACCATTGGGTCTGACTCCGGTGCATCATGACAGCTGCTGTGCACACCTAAGAGGAGTGTGGGCTGTGGTTCTCGCCTTCCACCTGCATCAAATCCAGGGGAACACAGTCTCTGAGTGAGAAGGGTTCGTGGCCTTAGATCCAGCACTGCCTCCTGCCCATCGCAGAGTGAGCCCTGTACATCATCACCAAGTGAGGTGCTTTAGAGCAGACTCCCGCACCATATAGACCCTCCCTCCAGTGTCTGGTTTCTGCTTGAGAACGTTCACATTCAGGAAGCCCTCCACTCTGGCAGCCCATTCCATTGTTGAATCCTTCCAGCTCCTAGAGACCTTTCCTTCCACACCTAACTTCCTTGTAACCTCACCACGGGCCCAGCTTCTGCCCTTAGGAGCTAGGATGAAATCAACTGCACAGACCCAATGCCAGGTCTCTAGGTTGGAGACATCCCAGCTGAATCCTGGCCCCCTTCTCTGGCCTTCATTATCCCTGTTCCTTCAGTCACCACTCAGGTGCATTTGTTTTGAGACTACCTCGTCACTGTATTGCAGAGGCAAGACTGGCACCAGTGGTTAAGCAATAATATGAGCCACCTTAAGACTAGGAGTCAAATTAGTTCTGTAGCTATACAAGTGGGCGTGGACTTGTACATGCACATGTGCGTGCAAGTGCACCATTATGGGATAGCAGCATGTTGCCACTGACAGGACAAGAGTGTTCTCCTTGTTTCTACAGGCTTATCTGAGCCCTCAAAAGGATTAACAAAGAAACCAACACATAGGCCATTCTTCTCCATGGAGTGCCTTGATTAGGCCTCTTGAACATGGAGAGGGACAGATGTAGGCACTCAAGGAAGACATGGAAGAGGGAGTGAGGCTCGCGCTCACCTTGAACCTGGTAAGGCTCTCAGCTGGTAGTGTTTCTCTGCTTTTTGTTGTCTGGCCTCTTAAATAAATTTCAAGAGGTCGGAAGTCTGCTTCAGGTGTTCTTGTTGGAACACTAGAAGGCAACAGGATACTAGAAGATGACAACTTGAAGTGAGAGGGTGCAGATCGTAGGGCCAGGGCAGGGAATATGGACAATTTCCTCCGCCTGCACTGTGATTGTGCAACAGGAAACCAACTCGTCTAGTGGGTTACGAAACAGACTGAGCCTCCAGGACTCAGATTCTGGTAGAGACTGAGGCAGTGGGAGGATGGATCCAAGCAGGAAGGTGAATGAGATGGAGAGGGGTCAGATGGCTGGGAGGCAGGGGTGTGGGGGCAGCATAACTTAGGAGCCCTACAGGTGGAGTCAGGACAGACCCAAGTCCAAACCCTGGGGCCACTATTTACCAGTGATGTGATGTAACTAGAGGTTAAATCTTGCTAACCTTAGTTTCCGCACCTGTTAGTAGCGGCAATAAAACTTGGCTAGTAGAGACATGCTGAGGATCTCATGAAGGCCTGGCACAGGGTAAGCTACCAATAAAGGGGAGTTCTTATAGCCCTAATAATACTCGTACTGAGAGCACAAAGAAGTAACATGGGGAATGCCACAGACTAAATACAGTCTTTGCCTTCATGTAGCCTTTCCCTAATAGCTAAGGGAAGGCTTTATTACCTTGGGCAAATCACTTACCTCTGGGCTGGGGATTTAGCTCAGTGGTTTCACCACCTGCTGCGCCAGCACAAGGACCCGAGTTCGATCCCCAGTACCAAAAAAAAAAAAAATTACTTACCTCTGAGTCTCATTTTACTCACTCGTAAAGGGAACAGTTGTAGTAGCACATACTTCAAAGGATTATTAAGTGCGCTAAATACACTGGTACGCATGACATTCATCAGATAAGCAGCTATATTATTGCTTACTAAGAAGTAATATAACAGGTAAAAGACTTGTAGGTCCATTTCTTCGCACCGATGTGCTGTCAAAGACAAGGCTGTATCCTGGCAACCAGAGGAACCAGATGGAGAGAGGGAGAGAGTAGTATTCTAGGAAGAAAACCAACAGATTGCTCCCTGTTCTTGTATGGTTAATACCAGGAAATAAGACAGGGCTCCAGGGTGAGGGCAGTAGGCACAGGTGGGAGTGGCTGGTGGAGGCTTAGGATGCAGAGCTCGTGGCCAAGTCTCCAGCATGGTAGAAAGCCAGACATTGGACCCCTGAAACTAGGCTCAGCAAGGGAAGGAGAGCAGTTCCGGAGCTTCCGGGGAGGAGATTAGAACAGGCATCTAAGAGGCCATGCTTGCCTGGTGGGACTCGCAGTTTCCCCTTAGAGCCTAGGGGTCCAGTCATCGAGGCTGGCTTTCCAGGGATGTGTCCCATGCAGAGGCCCTGTACCCCGAAAAGCCTTTTCTTTGTGGAGTGCTCTGCTGCCACTGTCTTTTTACATTTTCTGTCAGTCTCTTGCCTTTTTTTTTTGGTACTGGGGATCAAACTTGGGACCTTGCACTTTCGAGGCAGGTGCCAGAACCACTGAGCTAAATCCCCAGCAGACTGTCTTGAAATTCTTGATAATTCTTTTAAACTAGGGGAGCTAGGTTTCTATTTTGCACGGGCTCATGCAAGTCATACAGCTGGTCCTGTTAATCTCAAGTAAGACCTAAGAGGAACCAAGTGCTACAGGCATTCGCGGGAGACAGGGAGAGGAAATGAGGATGAGGGGGCACTTTGCACTTGACCCTGGAGGATATAGGCAGGATCTGGACAAGTGAAAACAAAAGGTGGTTGTCCTGTTGGAAGAACTATGTTAACAAAGTCAAGAGGTGGAGAAGTACGGACCCTGCTTAGGGAATGAACTATAAGACTCCTGTGAACCTGGAGTCCTTGCTCCTGAGCTGCTCATGTCTGGGCTCTGTCAGGGCAGTGCCATGCTCTCTCTGCTGGCCTTTCTAGGGTAGCCTTTTCCTCAGGCTCTTTCTTCATCCTTGTGAGTGCCGTCCACTGGTGTCTGCCCAATTAATACATTAAACCTGTTACCCAGTCTCGAAGCCAGAGATGGGGGTCAGATCTGAACAAGAGTCAAATAGAAACTCTTAGCTGAAAATATGACTATTGAAATAAAAATGAAAAGCATAGAAGCAGGTCAAATAATAGAGCAAATACAGACCAAGAAAAAACTCAGCCGAGAATCCTTGTCATTGAACTTGCTCTCTCTGTCTTTTATATTACAACTTCTGTGTAGTGTTTGTGCAGCAGGCAAGGGGAAGGCATAGAATTCTGACCAAGGTCTGCATCTTCTGTCCCACTCTGCCATAGCCCCCCTTCTGATGGAGAGAAGTCCTCAAACAAATGTCCGACAGTCAGACCATAGTGACTCCAACCAGAGAGAAATAAAAGGAAAAAGTCATTTTTTCTTTTAAAAATCTCACAATTTCCACCCCAACCTTCCTATCCTAAACTTTGCATTTAAATATTATTTCTATGAATGTGACCCAAATGCCATTGTTCCTAGTGATATAGAGTGTTATAGATACATGCCAATATAAAATTTATTGTGTGTCCATTTGGTTTACACAAATATTAAACTGTCACTTTACTGACAAGCTTTTGCTTGCTTCTGTTCCATGGCTTCTACAAGCTTGAACTCTCCCGCCTAGTTCCATAGGGCAGAGTCACATAGATAGCTAGCATGTCTTGTGCAGCCCCAGCCCCAGGGTCTTGCACATCCTCTCGGTCCTGTGGCCACTGATCCGGGGACAGGGCAGGGGTCGGGGAACAGACTACCCGCGGGGATGTAGAGACCTTTGGGGGCAGAACCCATCTCCTGGGCGTGGAGTCATGGCTTGGAGCCTCTAGGCTCAACCGAGAGAGCACAGCGTCTGTCACTTGGATTTGTCTCCTGGCACAATGTCTGAGTTCTCTTCCAGTAAGAACTGAAGAGCCGCTGTCCCCTGAAAGCTCAGGTGTCTCTGTCTTGATGGTTGCTGATAGCTGACGAAGAAGAGGGAAGAGGCATCATCTTCTAGTTTGCACAGGAGAGGACTGAGAAAAGGGAAGGTCCATTAGGGCGCTGCCAGCAGTGCCCAGGGACAGGCAGCGGTGTCCACAGCAGGCAGCAGGGACCAGGGCAGGTGGTGTTGGCCACGGGGCAGGGACAGTGCCCCAAAGAAGGAAGTGGTGTCCAGGGGCTGGCAGTGGTGTCCATAGGCAGGTGGCATTGTCCAGAGGTAGTGGTAGCTTGAAGAAAAGGGGAGTGTCTGGGATCAGGTGGCCATGTCCAGAGGTAGGCAGTGGTGCCCGAGGTGGACAACAGCGTCCAGAGGCAGGTGTCGGTACCTTAAAGAAGAAAGTGATGCCCAGGAACAGACAAGGGTCTCTAGGGGCAAGCAATGAGTCTAGAGCCGGGCAGCAGTGCCCAGAGGCAGGTTTGAGTGCCCTGTTGAAGAAAGTGATCCCCAGGGGCAGGCAGCAGTGCCCAGGGGCAGGGTGTGACATCCAGTGGTGGTCATCAGTGTCCAGTTGCAGGAAGCAGTGCTCTGAAGAGAAAGTGAGGACCAGAGACAGCTAGCTTGGCCCTGGGGCGACAGCAGCCCCAAAGCAGGCAGTGTACCTACGGGATGGCAGTGGGATCCTGGGTAAGCAGCAGGACCCTGGAGCAGATGGCAGGATCCAGAGTTGGGCAGCAGCACCTTGAAGAAGGGAGTGGAGCCTAGGAACAGGCCCAGCCAGGGGCAGGCAGCTATGTCGAAGAACAGGCAGTGATGCCAGGGATAGCAGCAATGCCCCGGGACAGGCTGCCCAGGGACCTGAAAAAGGGTGTGGTGCTCTCCTAATCCCTATGTCCCTTCGTCACTCTTAAAAAACCATGTCCCCTCACTATAAATGGCTAATATACAGCTTGAGTCATAAATGGAATATGACATTTACCCAAAAGAAATTTGCTAGCATCGTGGATGAGAAGGGATAAGAAATGGTTACCAAGAAAAATTTAAGCCAACAGACCACATGTAATGAAGCATTGTAGAGAGGGGGCGGCAGCACAGTCTCTTTGTAGGAAATCCAAAGCTAACAGTTCGAGGTTGATGCACTTGGTGATGCAATGGAAAGTCTAAAGTCAGCTTGATATTCATGTGTCCTCTGTCCATGGTTCAAACATAAGTCCAGGGAGGAGCTATTGACCAGACAACCCCAGTAGGGTGGGGGGGTACAGAGGGACCTAGGGAGAATGGGGACGGGGCTTGGGCCCCTTAATTCCCATCAGCACCCCCTTCTTTTACCATGAATGATTTCTAGGTATAACCTGAAGTGCCAGGTGAGTGTCACTTCCCAATGTCAGCCGTTCTCCCTTCTTACCCCCACCAGGTCACTATGAGCCCCACTTCTGAGAAGAAGTTTTAACCCACAAGCATCAATAAGCCACCACCCCAGGGAGGAGGCCATTTTTCTCTCATACATGCACATGCACGTGTGTGTGCTTTCCATTTATGGGCCAGACTGTTCCAGGGTAGAGCCAGGGATCCTGCTGTGGAAATGGGGCCATTAACAATGGTGGTTTCTTTCTTTCTTTCTTTCTTTCTTTCTTTCTTTCTTTCTTTCTTTCTTTCTTTCTTTCTTTCCTTCTTTCTTTCTTTCTTTCTTTCTTTCTTTCTTTCTTTCTTTCTTTCCTTCTTTCTTTCTTTCATTATTATTATTATTTGTGTGTGTGTGTGTGAAGGGGTACCATACCAAGTGCTTTCCTCAGTAAAGGGATTTTGTTAATTTTTTGAATAAATGTGACTTGAAGCTTATGGAATTTAGATAAACCAAGGAAAAAGATCATCTTTCAGAGCTCATGGGTCATGCTTGCAGTAGGCACAACTTCCCTGATGGCCCGGCCAGCACAGGGCCTACTTTTGGTGTTGTAAATGGCTATGGTCAGTATCTACCTCTGAGTTAGACATAGGGAGGTGATGAGGACATTGTTGAAGAAAGTG